GAGGTTCTGCGGATATCAAAGAACTCTGTTCGTCCCAAATGCCAAGCATTTTGCTCAGAAATATATTTTGATAGTTTGAGAGTAAAAAATATCGTTTATTGTCCGTTTAAGGACAACATGAACTGTTTTTCGTTGACCTGCTAGGTTGACGGCTTTGAACGTGTTGAGGATAGTTGCATCGCTCAAGGATCGCTGTATAAACTTATCCGGTTTGCCTAATTTAACTAGATTGCAGGCTAGAATATAGGATGAACTTCCGGTATATTTTTAGGAATGATTGGCAAGGTTGAACGGTGGTTGCATTGTCAGCTCGATTATCGATTGCATTACTTTGTGTGTGTGTATTCCCTCTAACCCCCACTGGCCGGCAGTGTTATTATGGAAGAACTCTCTCTACAATTTCGCATTTATGGTCATTGTACATGCTTAGTCCGGTAGACAGCTTTAGTCCGGGAGTTAGAAAGTGATAGCTCTATTGCAGATCCAGCAACCCATTTCAGAATGTCTGGAGAGTCACGCCCATTCCGAGGTTACTTTCACTTACAATAAGCCCCACATGTATGCATCACCGTTATCAAATGGATATTGGTATTACATACACGCTTCCAGGTTCGAAAATATTCTTTTCAAACCTGGCACATACCTATATAGTTTATGTTTTTTTAAATTGAAAAATGTATTTGGACTGGTCTCACCATGTTAATTTGATCATCCAATCCATGGGTTCCGTAATTTTGATTTTCTCTTAGCTTTGCATCTCATTCCGTGATGTACCTTTGTCGTAATACTTCCTTTAACGAACACAAATTTTCTTGCATTGCCATGGTCATCTGGGAGGTGGTTTGCGTCTAGTGCTTTCCCCAGGAATAGTTCGCGGCCACCAACTGCCACCCGTCCAGTCTTGGGGGTATCCAACGAGGTATCTTTCATATTGCTCGCAATCTCCAACGCCGGCGAGATACCAGCAGCCGAGCACTTTTGCAAGCGGAAAACTTGTTGATTCACGGCAACGTCGGCCACCGAATCACCACCAAAACTCGCGACGAACACATTATCAACACGTTCCCGGGCTAATTCACTAACCTGACCGATCTCTCAATAGAACTACACGCAGAAAGTGTAGCATCCTATCTCGGAGAACCGGGCTCCCGGGAGGCAATGAAAATCGACACCGAACAATGGAACTGAAGCTGCGTTGTATATTTTGGAGGTTAGATTCAAGGTCAACGACCCACTTGAAGCAAACACAGGCAATACACGATATATCACTAAATGATTTTATGAACACTTGAAACTAAATTTCAGCACACAAATTAACAAATTAAAAGCCAAAAAGTGTTTAATTCGCTTACGAAAAATACGCAGCAAAAGAAAAACACGTCAGCTTTTAAGCGCAGCCTACTGTGATCTGGTTATCAACTGCATCACTTTGTACTTAAAATATGTTAACTCTTTTTTTTATTCTATCTAAATGATGCAAATCTAGGATGGCACAGCTGTAACGCTATAAAACTACACACAAACTTTATTTTTCTTCGATTTTTAATCCGATCATCAGTTTTATTTTGTGATGCTTGAAGATCCACCGCAGCGTCGAATTCTTAGCTGCGCACAGCGTAAATATTTACGTTTTTTGACAAAAACTCCGGTAACCATGACAGATCCTGACGCAGTAAGTCTCTTTTGACGTAGACTACGTGTTACGAGAAGGTACTGGGGGTAAATCGAAAATCTAAAATTGCAACCGTCACGAAAAGATGTAAAGTTTTGAACGCTTATAACTTTGTCATTTTTAGATGAAATTAAAATCCGAATACACCAATCGATAGGAAATAACTCTCACAATCTGCAATAAATGCTTTCCATTTTTTTTAATCGTTGAAAAATGTGCAAAAAAAAGTGATAATTTTATCACTGTTTCAATGAAATAAACGTTCTCCCCAAACCAAGTCGTCATAATCGAGTACCATTTGGTTGCGCATCGTTTTGCTTGAATCTGTAAAACTATATAAGAGCTCTGCTGTTGTTCCTCCGCTCATTAAAGCTTCGGACGGCGTGACAAGCAGAAGTAGGAGCAAATCAGAAAAAGGAGGAATTTTTCCCTCTGCCTCTGCTGAACATTACCGCAGTCAGGCTATAGCGCTGCTGTTGTGAATCCGCTCATTTTCGCATCGGACGGACAGTGTGGTAAAATAGCTGCATTCAGCGTGATCACCTTGATGACAACCAACGATGGGGTGGAGAGGATGTGGAATTTGTGGAGATCGAACAATTGGTCCTTTTCAGGACCACAAATATTTTACAGAAAGAGTTATTGAGACTGTTTTCGGTCCCGTTCAAATAATATGAAACGCGACAAATGTTATTTTTATATAACAAACCCCTACCTCTGTCACGCCCCATTCATAAAACACGGCGGGAAATCCTGTCAGGGGCGGGGCTTAGAAAGTAGTTTTTGTGCAGAATATTTAAAAAGGAGAGACTTTGGATGTTGTATACAAATTACAGATGCATTTCTGTAAGAACTGTCAAATTCCTATGAATTTACACGCTAGTGTTCGTGAGATTCTGCTTAGCGAACTGAATTTTGATGATTTTGGGCCGTCCCTGTGTTGAAGTGGGATCCAGAGGAACGGTAAAAATTCATTTGCATCTTAACGTAGATTGTTGTACATTGTTGTTTGTTACAAAATTCATGCACCAAGTGGATTAGCGCATTTCTGGGTGGCGCTGTGTCTAGTTCGGTCCACCAAAAATTGAACCTCTGAAAATGGGTTGGAGCGTCTTAGTGTAAATGCAAGAATGGCAAAAAGTTAAGAGATATATTTCTGAATACTTGTAGTTCTAGTTCCTCATGAGGTGCTTAAGAGGCGGATAAATTCCTACGTTAAGCTATCCAATGAACATTTAGAATTATAATCCTGCTTGGATGGACGAATTTTTTATTGCTTGAAGTAGCAAATTATGATTAAATATTGAACATGGACCAAACTTTCTAATTGGTGAAAGCACAACTCTGAAAATCAAATTTTCGAATATTCTGTTGGAAAGAAAGTGAGGGGGCAATCCCAAGTAATCAACAAGCCTGCTTAGTAATAATCCGAGTAATAATGCGCCAAAGCCCTCTATTAGTCGTATGTTAGCTTTATATAACAAAATCAATCCAAATTAGCGGGCTTATTGGTTACCTTCCAAGTAAAAAATTGGGTTTTATGAGGGTATTGTAGACCATGATTTAGACTTACTGAGTGCTTTAAAACCTTAATAAAACTTACAATGTTACTTGGGCTGGGATGTGCAATACATGCTTGTGAACGATTTTCCACGTTTGGTTAAACGTGTTATCCATATCAAATGTTCAACGGAGATGTGATCGGCATTGAGGTGTGCAATGTAGTAAATTGGCGCAATAAGTTACTTCCACTGTATTTTAAATCAATATCAAGAAAAAGTTACAAGAAGTTCACTAAACATCTCAACACAGTCTACGTCAACCATGCGGTCGTATCTTGTACACAACCCCACCATTTTTTTTTTTCATTCGCGTTGTTTTTAAAGATCAAAATGTAATGATTACCTGAGATTTGTCAATGATGTAAATATTTACACGTCGTGCATTGTAGAATAACAAGGCTTCAAAGAATCAATAGCTAAAATACTTCAAGTTTGTCAATGCACACTATGTTTTTTTCAGTATTCAGCTCATTTTCATACTGGTAGAACATTAGATCCGTTTGCGTTGCGTTGACGTAAATTTGACAGTTAGACAATAGATTTAGCTGTAACTTTGCCGCAATGCGTCCGATCCGGATCTAATGTGCGTGGGCCTTGACAGCTGCTGTAGAACTTTCAAGATCCACAATATAAAAAGGGAACGAAGGTTAAAAAATGTCAGCATAATACCACTCTCAAAATCGCTCACAAACAGCACATAAATAAACATAGGCAAGCACATCGGCAGTGCATACACACATAGGTAGTCGATACGACTAAGCGTAGAGAAGCACACGGTTTGTTCTAATCTTGATAAACGAGGCATTATTGGTTCCGTGCTCAATTTTCTGCTTCGTTGCAGTTGTATTGGGAATTGCTTGAAATTACAACAAATTCGGCGCTACTTTAATGCTCCACATTTCATCAATCACACTGTACACTGAAAATGAATCTTGCTCAGAGAGTGAGTCATTTTTACTCATTCGTATGGATAAATTTCCAAAAGTGTAAGTTACTCTTGCGCTGAGTGATCTACGCTTTTAGAAATCTCTCCATACGAATGAGTAAAAGTGACTCACTCCCTGAGTTAGTTTTGTTTTCAGTGTACTACACATCGGCATGCGGCCTTTCCTCGGAAAGTACCACTTACCAATCACGAGTACGCCACAATTCGTTCCACCAGTTTATTGATTTGTACAGCAAACGAAGCTCCAGCAATCCACTCCCATTATCCCACCCTTCTATATCATGCTATCGGATCACCTTTTTTTCCCGCCACTCAAAACGTTAGAGACCCTCAACAACATGCCACCGCGTCTTTATTTTCGCTCGCTTAAACCACAAAATTGCGTTCAAAAAACGACCCAACCAGCCACATTACCGTTTAAGTTCGTGGCAATCAGATTATTGCATTAGTTCGCCTTTCAATCACAACCGCACGCACATGAACCGCCCCACAACCGAATAGCTCTATATGTGTGAAAGAATGTTGCCCCCTGGTTCGAGTATTGAACATAACCCTTGAAAAAAAAAAATCCCAATAAAATTGTTTTTCACCGCTCGGCACGATTTCCTGCTCACAAGCGAAGGCAAACCAGTGTTGGCTTAGATTATATTTTCCATTTTAAATATTCAATTATAAATATGATTACTTAATCCAACGCTGTTTTACCTCGCTTTGTGTGATGAGAAAAGGGTGAAATTTTGTCGAACGGCTTTCCCGCAAAACCAGCTCCATCAGCCTCAGTGGGACTCATGTGTGGAATAATTTCTCTCTTTTCCCGCAGTCGACTTTATGGGTGGCGATGCGAAAAGTCCACAGCACACGGCCGTGCATCCAATGTACGTGAGCTATACTAGTTTACCAACCACGAATAGCGCCAACTCGACGCAGCTGAAGTCAGCTATAGCTGCCAAATCTGCGCCATTAGCCGCCACCGTCATCACCGCCAACCATCATAACAGCAATAGTTCCCATTGCCTCAGTAACACTAGCGCTAAGCTCGGTGTTGTGCTCAAGTCGATTAACGGTCACGATAACAAGAATCCCAACTCATCCTCAAACACTAACACCCTACTGTCGTCATCATCATCACCGTCATCGACGTTCACCAATTGCAATGGGAACGGTAGCATCGGCAATGGCAGGCCTCCATCTGCACTCGGTGGACAGACACACGAACAGCACGTGCCACTCCATCAACAGCCACTTCCACATCCGCTCAGTCGAAATTCTAGCTTTAGCAAAACCCGCAGCGGACAACTGCGGAAAAATAGCAGTAGTGTCAGTATTCGGTACACTGACGTTACCCAACAGCAGCAGCAGCAGCAGCAGCAGGATGAGAGCATGATCCCGAACGAGGACGATACCTTCTTCATTCCAAAGAGCTCCTCCTGTCGCAATAACTTCGGTATCAGCAATCCCTTCAACAACGTCTCCAGTCGATACTATCGCGATGGCGATTGTGATTCACGAGCTGAAGACGATGACGATAGTAGCCATCTGATTACCGGCTCCTCGCAGCAACTAGCCCTTTCGACGCCGCTGAAACGGCATCCCTCGGTTTCATCGACGAGTAACAGCATTGGCGGCGGCGGTGGAGGCAACAACAGCAGTAGCACAACGACGACACCAATGAACGAGAACAACGCGATAGCTTTTGAACGAAATTTCCCCCACGGGACACGACCTGATTTTAGTAGTGCTCACCAGCACAGGATAGGTACTAAGCCACAGCCACAGCAAGTACAACCGATACCACCACCAGTGCCACCCCTGCCACAGTTACACTTCCACCACCAGCAGCACCAGCACCAGCAACAACAGAATTTCGAGAGCGGCAACAGCGAAAACTATCGGATGCCATACCAGTACGTAACGCGTTCGCCGAACTTGAACCGAATTGCGCGGCGGAACAATGTGAACCTAATTAATAACAATAACAACAATAACCCCCGTGTCATGAGCCCCAAGTACTGCGATCAAATTCGCGACTTTGCGGGGGGGCCTCCCGGCTACCCGGGGCACGAAAATAACAATTACCCTCCGCCTCCCCCGTCGGTTTCGTCGGCCAGCGGGAGTGGTTATCCGGCGATGGTGATGCATCGGGCCAAATCCCAGGATCGATTATCGCACCGCTCTCGAAGACACCATCACCACCACCACCACGGAGGCGCACGTGGCCAGTACCAACAGCGCCCGCGGTCGTTCTGCAGCAATAACGGAGCCTATCCGGACTATGTGATTATGGAACATCCCGGCAATTAGGAAGTTCCAAAGCCTTGCCTGATTTTTGTTTTTCCTTAACTGTTTAATACTGCTGCTTTTCTGACCGCTTTTTAGATGGTAATGATGAAATAGTGACAGGGGGCGCCGGTGGGTCTACGTCCGATGTCGGCTGTAGACAGACCATGGGGAGTGGGTGATTGGACATACAAGATTGATTGTTAAATTAGTTTAGCGGCGGCGGCAAGAGGCATACTGGTGATGACGTGAAAATCGAAGGGTTTATCAATAGTGAATTCGACGGTAGACGGTAACGGTGTAATTGTTCGACATTTAGAAAACGTAATTGATTTCGATCTACGCAGCATTGGATATTCTATAATCAAAAGTCAGTTCAGTTTGAATTATGCTAAATCTAATAAGTTGAATTCAATAAAAATTTGTTTGTTTTAATAAAAGTTCCTGATGGATGGATGTAATGTGATCCTTCGTCCTCAGTAATATTTAAAAATGAATATGGCCTTTCGGATCATAGCCAAGGTTGCAAATACTCATTTCAGCTAAAACAATGTTTTGTTCAATTATGAAATAATTAGATGCTATGATCATATTTTGAATAGGTAAGAGACAATAAGAGGTTGCAAAGAATGTGTTTGACATTTTAAACCTGTTTATTTCACTTCATTAGAGTCACAATCAGCGATTTTTCACACACTCACTCACTCACTCACTCACTCAGCGATCAGCAAATCACTGATTGTGACTCATAGAAAGCAAAATTTACAGGTTTTACGTTTTAAACGCATACTGTGTAACCTCTTCTTGTAAGTTACAAGTAAAACATGTCATCATACCATCTTTTGGTTTTATTATTCCGAAAAACATTATTTTAGCTGAAATGCGTATTTGCAACCTTGATCACAGCAGTGAACCTCGTAATAAAACAACTTATACTAAATCTTAAATTGATACGATTTTCCTAATTCGTTGATCGGTAATAAGTGACGCTCAACCGTTACGTGTTGATCCAACAAGCGACTTAGCACACTCGTAAATTTCGTATATGCTGTTAAATTTTGATATAATAATTGTAAAAATTTCTACATATGTTATTATAAATACAGTGAAGTACAGAGTGGACACTAGGGTGGGTTAACTTTAGAACCCCCGATCCAAACTGCTCTTTCAACGCGCCTTGAGGTCCCCAACAACTGTGCAAAATTTGAACGAATTTGGTTATAATCTAAATTTGCCGGAGAATTTTAAATGTTGCATGGGCAAATGTACGGTCCTATTCATTTGCTTACCAAAAATCCAAGTATTGCTCAAATTTCACCAAATCTCACTGGTTGATAAGAAATTTGTGAAAAATCATCGAACTGTTTGCTGAACGTTCAGCTGTTGAGATTTCGGTAAAATTTCACAGAAATCTTTGAAATAATCTAAGTGTGATGGATGCACATGAGGGTGGCCTAAAATAACACTTTGACTGGAAATCTGGAGGCTCACTCTCCAATTGATAGCTAAGGGTGTTACAAAAAAAGCTTTTGTATGGCGGCAACTTTGAAAAACGGAATTTAGAGGTAGCCCGATGAGATTTTAGAAAAAAGTCGATTTGTGATAGTCATAATTGAACAAATACTTCTAATGCATCAACATTTAGAACAACCTAACCCTTTTATAATGTTTACACATTCCTTGAGGTCTCTACTAGAGAGGGTCTAGTATAAGAGAAGAGCGGACTCGCTGATTTTGAGCCAAACGAACTGTCAATCCAAAGCCAATCGAGCAGCGCCTATCTTGATTGCATTGGCAGTGTTTCTAGAAATTGCCTAGGCATAGGTTGCCAACGTAGTTTGTTTGAATCCGCTCCTCTCTGATACTGGACCCTCTCTAGTCTCTACTATATGAAAAAAAATCACAGCATTTTTTCATGATTTTTTTTTTAAATTAGAGGATAAGGATTTGAATTTGATCACTGTATAGCAAAATGAATTATTGTTATAAAAGTAATTACTCAAACCCTCTTTCAAAAATTATCCTTTAACAAACATTATTATGCATTTAAAAATCAATTATCCTATGCGTGATAATGTTTGCACCATTAAACAATTTCAAGCAAAATTTACAGGTTTTACGTTTTAAACGCATACTGTGTAACCTCTTCTTGTAAGTTACAAGTAAAACATGTCATCATACCATCTTTTGGTTTTATTATTCCGAAAAACATTATTTTAGCTGAAATGCGTATTTGCAACCTTGATCACAGCAGTGAACCTCGTAATAAAACAACTTATACTAAATCTTAAATTGATACGATTTTCCTAATTCGTTGATCGGTAATAAGTGACGCTCAACCGTTACGTGTTGATCCAACAAGCGACTTAGCACACTCGTAAATTTCGTATATGCTGTTAAATTTTGATATAATAATTGTAAAAATTTCTACATATGTTATTATAAATACAGTGAAGTACAGAGTGGACACTAGGGTGGGTTAACTTTAGAACCCCCGATCCAAACTGCTCTTTCCACGCGCCTTGAGGTCCCCAACAACTGTGCAAAATTTGAACGAATTTGGTTATAATCTAAATTTGCCGGAGAATTTTAAATGTTGCATGGGCAAATGTACGGTCCTATTCATTTGCTTACCAAAAATCCAAGTATTGCTCAAATTTCACCAAATCTCACTGGTTGATAAGAAATTTGTGAAAAATCATCGAACTGTTTGCCGAACGTTCAGCTGTTGAGATTTCGGTAAAATTTCACAGAAATCTTTGAAATAATCTAAGTGTGATGGATGCACATGAGGGTGGCCTAAAATAACACTTTGACTGGAAATCTGGAGGCTCACTCTCCAAGTGATAGCTAAGGGTGTTACAAAAAAAGCTTTTGTATGGCGGCAACTTTGAAAAACGGAATTTAGAGGTAGCCCGATGAGATTTTAGAAAAAAGTCGATTTGTGATAGTCATAATTGAACAAATACTTCTAATGCATCAACATTTAGAACAACCTAACCCTTTTATAATGTTTACACATTCCTTGAGGTCTCTACTAGAGAGGGTCTAGTATAAGAGAAGAGCGGACTCGCTGATTTTGAGCCAAACGAACTGTCAATCCAAAGCCAATCGAGCAGCGCCTATCTTGATTGCATTGGCAGTGTTTCTAGAAATTGCCTAGGCATAGGTTGCCAACGTAGTTTGTTTGAATCCGCTCCTCTCTGATACTGGACCCTCTCTAGTCTCTACTATATAAAAAAAAATCACAGCATTTTTTCATGATTTTTTTTTTTAATTAGAGGATAAGGATTTGAATTTGATCACTGTATAGCAAAATGAATTATTGTTATAAAAGTAATTACTCAAACCCTCTTTCAAAAATTATCCTTTAACAAACATTATTATGCATTTAAAAATCAATTATCCTATGCGTGATAATGTTTGCACCATTAAACAATTTCAAAATTAAAAAAATTCTCAAAAATTTTGTTTTCGAGTTTTTTTTTATTTATTTAAAGGGGGATGTTTCTCAGAGTCTTAAACTATGTTAATCATCGATCGAGTTTCCACTTGCTGCAATTACGGCCTCCACACGCTTTTCCGCAGTTTCTAATAATGTAGTCTGGATCCATTTCTCTCCAGGTACGGGTCAATATTTGTCTGAGGCTTGCTGTACTCGGGTGACGTTTAGAACAGGCCTTGGCCTTCATGACGCGCCATATTGAGTGATCCAGCGGATTAAGATCGAGGCTGGATGGCGGCCACATATCCTTCGCCCAGAACGGAAGATGTTCCTGCAACCACTTCTGAGTGCGGTTCGAGGTGTGGCACGGAGCCCCATTTTGTTGAAATACAACATTTGGCTTCGGACCGTACTGTTTTTTGTTCCACGGAAGAACATACTTACTTAAAATCCCGATGTAGATCTCCGAGTTGACCTTGACAAACACCATAACGCTAGCAGGATGCTTGGTCAGATACACGTTCTTGTGCTCGTCGGCCACGTCTTTTACCGGAAGAGAACTAATATACCGGTCGATTCTGGAATCTGATACGGGATCGACGCTAAACATGCTCTCGTCGGTGAACAGGATTACCGGATTTTTTCGCGTAAGGAAGTTCAAGATTTTCTTGCATCGTTCGACTCGTAGCTCCCGGATGCGGTTGGTAATCATGTAATTTTTTTTTACGTGCCCTCGATTTCGCCGTAAAGTCACTGATCCCGTGTTCCTTTGTCATTTTCCTTATTGAACGCACTGGATTCACCCTAATCTTCCTTTTGATAGCAGCGATAACCCGCGGAACCCAAGCTGACCTCGGACGACCTGTGGCCACCTTCGCAGATAGTTGTCCTTTCTTTTCCCGGTTTAAAACCCTTTTGACGGTCCACCGGGACACTCCCACGGCGATTGAAATGTCTTTTTATGACATTTGCGCGTGGGAAAAATCACGAATACGCTGCCACTTCGTCATGGTGCAACTGTCAAACTAAGTAAATCATTTTGTTTTATACACTGCCTACTACGGTATGAGCTATAGGTTACGTGCATGCAAAGAAAACCAAGGCATTGTATGCACAGGTGAAACGGGAACCTTAGTTGTACGATGGTGCAAACATTATCACGCATACGGTACTGTTGCGCTACCTGATGTAAATAAAATTTTAAGTCACGACATATTCAATTTTGGGCAACTTACATTTTCAGTGCTAAAATTCAAATCTCGAGATCCATCTATACTGTATAAACTCCTGCAATGAAAACCAATCAAACAGCTACTTGTTTAGCTACCCATCGATACTCAACTGCTATTGAATTGAACTGCATTCTGTTGACAGTCGTGCCGGTTGCTTGTGCATATTTCATATCCGGTGTCGTTTGTGTCGTCATCGAGTCGCCTTAGCGCTTTAACTGGAACCCATGAACATGAACCCCACATGGTGATGAACCGCGCTGGTGGTGGTCACAATAATTTGTGGCATTCGCATGCACCAGAATAATATCGATACATATTAGAAACTTTCCCCCCCGCCTTCGTTAGTTTCCGCGCTATTCCCATATGTATCAATAATTAATTAGAATCGTACATCAGCCGGAGGCGTTTGAAGTGGCTGCATTGTGCGTTTGACGTAGCCAAAATAGAAACACCTGGGAGAGGGCTTCAAATGCGGGGAGCTAAAAATATCCTGTCACTATTTCATCATCCCAAAACGCAGCAGAACGTTTCATCGTATGGCACCAAAAGCGACTACTTTATATGATTATTTTTGTAACAGAAATGTTCGATGTTCCTTACGTATTACTATCGTTTTGATACAAACATTTTTGCAAGATCAAAAATGCAGTTCAAACTGTCTAGCGAGAGATTGAAATACGATAGTTCAATAAATAAATAATAGCATTGTAGAACTAATCCAGTAGTTAAACCACTGCGCATATGTTGTAGTTGAATGTTCATTTTTACTATTGTAATAGATTAACATTATTGTTACAGTTAGAGTATAGTAGTTGAGAACTGTTTAATCAGTAGT